TTTGAGAGATTATTATTCTCCTTTTTGGACTGAAGATTTTTCTGTTTTGTGGCTTTCATTAAGGAAAATGATTTTTTGTAAACTTTCTGTGTTTTTTTTTGTTTGTTAAATAAACTCTTCTCTGAGTTAATTTAAGAATGCGTCTGACTATTGGGTTTAACTGCCTCCTGTGGCTCAGTGGCGGAGATTGAGACTCTCGCGCCAGAGACCCTAGTTCGAGCCCTGGCGCTGACAGAATAACCAAGCCACATTATGAACCCAGAGACGCCTAATTCTCAAGAACTCTTTGCCACAGTTGCTCAGCATGAGTCCACAGTCCAACACCATGAGTCGGCACTAGCTCAGCAGGAGACTTTGATGGTTAAACACTCACAGGTGCTGTCTGATCTCATGACTTCTGTCCGTCAGATATTTGACCGGCTGCCCTCTACTTCAGCTACTGCCCCTACTGCTGCCTCTGTACCCCTTCCGGATTCTCGAGTGCTCTCCCCTCTGACTGAACCCCGCCTACCTCCACCACAACATTTCTCAGGTGATCCCAGTGCATGTGATGGTTTCCTGACTCAATGCTCTCTCACATTTGAATTACAACCATCTTCATTCCCCTCAGATAGGGCGAAGATCGCATATGTTATCACTCTCCTTTCTGGCAAGGCTCTTTCTTGGGCAACAGCGGTCTGGAAGGCACAGGTGCCCTTCTGTTCAAGTTATTCTGTGTTTGAAAAGGAGTTCAAGAGAGTCTTTGACCACCCCCTCAGTGGCCGACAAGCCTCTAAGAGACTTCTCACCCTCCGTCAAGGTAATGGCAGCGCGGCTGACTATGCTATTCAGTTTCGGACAGTTGCAGCAGGGAGCGGCTGGAACAATGAGGCCCTCATGGTGTGTTTCCTGAATGGTCTGTCCGAGGCAATCAAGGATGATCTGGCTACCAGAGAACCTGCTCTTGATCTTGAGACTCTTATGGATCAAGCAATCCGGCTGGATAATCGCCTGAGGGAGAGAAACCTGAACCGCCCATCTGTTTCCCCATTGTCTGCCAGTCCAGCTCTTGCTCAAATGCTACCAGTGCCCCAAGATTTTTCAGAACCCATGCAATTGGATAGTACTAGGCTTTCCCCATCAGAAAGAGACCGTCGTATGCAAGAGCGCTGTTGTCTATATTATGGATTGCATGGCCATTTTCGCTCCATCTGCCCTGCGCTTTTCGGGAAACGCCCAGTCCCGTACAGGCAAGGGAGGACTGTAACGGGAGTTACACGCACCGCTTCACCTTCCAACTCTGGGTTGTTCCTTCCCGTCAAACTCATTTGGGGAGACCAAAAACACCAGCTCCAGGCATTGATTGATTCTGGCGCTGCCGGGAATTTCCTGGATATTTCCCTTGCCAAGAGGCTCCAGATCCCTATTAATTCCCTTCCTGCCCCCCTAACTGTGACAGCCTTGGATGGAAGACCGTTAGCTCCAGGGAAAATAACCCACCTCACCTCTCTCCTATGTCTCGTCACTTACCAGCACCAGGAGAGAATGTGCTTTCACCTCATACAGTGTCCCGAGTTCCCTGTTATCCTCGGTCACCCTTGGCTTCTCCAGCATAATCCACACTTTGACTGGTCCACTGGTGCTGTTCTCAGTTGGGGACCCACCTGTCAGACTACATGCTTGGCCCAGAACTCCCCTGACCCTGTTCTTGAATCCCACGAACCCCTAGACCTGTCTCAAGTCCCTGTGCAGTACCACCACCTCAAAGCAGTGTTCAGTAAAAGGAGGGCCACCTCCTTACCTCCTCATCACCCTTATGACTATGCCATTGAGCTACTCCCAGGAACCTGTCCCCCCCAGAGGTCGTATATTCTCTTTGTCTCCCCCCGAACGAATTACAATGGATAGATACATTAACGAAGGCCTTGCGGCAGGTATCATCCAACCATCCACTTCCCCTGCTGGAGCTGGGGTCTTTTTCGTTGGGAAGAAGGATGGCGGACTTCGGCCGTGTATTGATTACAGGGGCCTTAATAAGATAACTATATTCGAAACCGCTATCCCTTGCCGCTAATGGCCACTGCCTTCGAAAATCCTGCAAGAGGCCTCCATCTTCACTAAGCTCGACTTGCGCAATGCTTACCATCTTGTGTGCATCAGACAAGGAGATGAATGGAAGACCGTCTTCAACACGCACACTGGGCACTATGAATTTTTAGTTATGCCCTTTGGTCTCACTAATGCTCCTGCAGTATTTCAAGGTCTCATCAGTGATGTTCTTAGAGACATGCTCAACCAATTTGTGTTTGTCTACTTAGATGATATCCTCATCTTCTCGAGTTCCCTCCAGGAGCATGTAAAACACATCAGTAAAGTTCTCAGACGCCTTCTTGATAACCATCTTGGCAGAATACGCGCACAATACCCTTAGCTCCTCTGCTACAGGCATGTCCCCTTTCGAGTGCCAGTTCGGGTACACCCCTCCACTATTCCCTGAACAAGAAGTGGAGGTCGCAGTTCCCTCTGCTCAGCGGTTTAAGCGCTGCCGCCAGACATGGAAAAAGGCCAGACTCAAGCTCCTTAAGGTCTCTCAGCAGTACCAGTACCAGGCTAATCGCAGATGCAGACCTGCCCCCACTCTGCACCCTGGCCAAAGAATCTGGCTCTCCACTAAGAACATTCCCTTACGGGTGGAGTCCCGTAAACGTTCCCAGAGGTTCATCGGTCCCTTCAAGATTGCCAGGAAAGTTAACCCGGTTACTTATCGTTTATACTTACCTAAGTCTTTGAAGAGAAATCCCACTTTTCATGTCTCCCTGTTTTGTCTTCTCCTTTTCTTGCGACAGGTAAACCTCCCCCTCCTCGTATCATCGGTGGCCAGCCAGCTTACACAGTCCACAGAATACTAGATGTCCGTCAAGTACGTGGGTCCCGGCAGTATCTTGTGGACTGGGAAGGCTATGGCCCTGAGGAGCGCTCCTGGGTTCCTGCCAAGGACATCTTGGACCCCAAACTAATTCAGGAATTTCACGCTCGCAAGCCCAGTTGTCCTGGAGGGAACGTCAGGAGCCGTTCCTAGAGGGAGGGGTCCTGTCAGAGTTTTTGCTTTGTATGTCTCATTTTGGCCACTAGAGGTCCCTATGGTACGCTCATGTCTATGTTGGGCCTCTTGTAATCAGTGCTATTGTTTTCAGATGTGCCTCGTTCTGGGCTGTGTATTTAAACTGGTCACTTCCTTAGTTTCTTTGCTTGGTTATTGTTGTTCCTAAGCCAGCTGCTGCCGTAAGTCTGCTCTAGTTCAAAGAACTATACTGCAAAAGTTTTTGGGATTGTTTCCCTGTGTTTAAGTTGGCTGTTTTGTCTTTTTCCTGAGTTTTGGTTTTAGAGATTATTATTCTCCTTTTTGGATCATTTTTTGGACTGAAGATTTTTCTGTTTTGTGGCTTTCATTAAGGAAAATTATTTTTTGTAACCTTTCTGGGGTTTTTTGTTTGTTAAAAACTCTTCTGAGTTAATTTAAGAACGCGTCTGACTATTGGGTTTAACTGCCTCCTGTGGCTCAGTGGTGGAGATTGAGACTCTCACGCCAGAAACCCTAGTTCGAGCCCTGGCGCTGACAATAATAGTACATTTCTGGAGCACAAAATAGAGACTGGAGCTTTGAATAAATTACACAGGAATAAAATACATTTTAAAATATATTAAAAACTGTTTTAAAATATAACAATAATACTGTTTTTACTGTAGGCCTATTTTTGATCAAATAAATGCAACCTTGGTGAACATAAGAAACTTATTTAAAAACATTAATGACCCTAAATGTTTAAACGGTGAAAAAATATTGATAATGATGATTTGAAATATATATTTTTTTGTATGTAAGATAGGCTTGCCGTGATTGACGGTGATACGGTTAAGCCGCAACACCGGATATGTCACTTGCCCACCGCGGCACCGACCCCCACCGTCGTTTTGATTTTTTATAGTAATAAAAATAATTTAGTTCAGTAAAAGAACAGACACTACAATTAAAAACTGAACACAGCTGCTCAATGCAGCGTGCCGAACGACAGTCGCATCACAGATCACATTTCATTTCTCCAGTGAGGAGAGTGAGTCGAGCTGACTGACAAGAAGAGTGAGGTGAGGTGAGAGAGACAAGACGATGGCGGATGATTTAGTTTCGAAACGAGATGCAAAGATCCTGTTTGGCAATAATTTGGATTTTGAAAAGCCTGTTGACTTTTGCCATTTATCTAAGGTGATTTTGGAAGTTTTTTTAAACATTCGCATTAAATATTTATTTTTACATCAAGGTGTATGCCGTGCCTCCAAGTTTCTTACTCGTTTTGCTAATAAACGTTCTACGTTTCTTATTTATTTGGTTATACATTATACATGTTTACTTAGCCTATTTCCAGTTTTGTATACCTATTTAAACTTTATGTAAGTTATTTGTTATTTTATATTAGGCATAGCCTACCCTATAGCATGGTGTATTTTTATTTGTTTTGTTAATAAAAGTTCTATGTTTTATATATACGCTAAAATGAGTTTGACGTTGTATTTTGTTGTTGCAACTGCCGCTAATTCAAAAGTGAAAGTAAAATGCGCATGGCACTTTTAAGCTATTTAAAAGCGAAGGAAAGGAAGGAAAAGAGGGGAAATTCAAACAAACTAAAAACCAACAATTGCTTTATGCTGAATTGCCGCTATTTGAAAGTGAAAGTAAAATGTGCACGCAGGTTTTACAAGCTATTTAAAAGCGAAGGAAAGCCAGGAAAAGAGGGCACGCCCCCACCCCGATACCGGTATTACCGGTGTTGTCACACATCGATTAACCGGTGGGAAAATTTCCTCCCCGTCACAACCCTAATGTAAGACCAGCCCCAGTGTGACCTGAAAAGATAGTGTTTTAAGCCAAGTTAGCATGCAATGTCGCTCCATGAGGCTTACTTCAAGATGTACTGTAGATGGTGTGCAGTGTTGTATCTGACATGATTTGAAAGCCCATTTCTCACCTTCTTCTTCATCTTTACATTCTTGAAGATAGCGTGCACTCTCCAGGTCTTTGCAAACATGGCGCCAAATGCTGTTGTGTAACCCACAATGAGGATCCATGTACGGACCTAAAACATTAAATATGAAAGTAAAACAAGGTTGCTACAAACCAAAAGTTCTTATAATTTGGGCACTGAAATGCTAAGACTGGACTCTAACACCAGTCTATAGAAAATGAAGCAGCAGAAACTGCAAAACCATCAAATCTAATGATCTCATGTCCACTATCGAAAAGCAAATTGGGTGCCAGGCTGTGTAGTGAATTCTGTGGAAGTTCCCGAGGCATAAATTTTTTCTCCTTGTCCTCCATCTTCTGTCTCTCTTGCTCTCTCCCACAGATCTAGTATTCTTTATTTTGAGCTCCTCTGGGAAAGAAAATCTCAGTATGTAATAGGCAGGAATCAACAATAAGGATGGCCTTCTGGCCTGGAGACAGTCTTAGAAAGTTTGGGAACGGCAATTTATGGCACTGCAGTGCTGTCACTAGATCTTGTTTGAAGATCGTGTACTGTGGTTTGACGGTTTGATGTGATTTAATGTGATGTGTTGAGCATTGTTGTTAATTCTACTAAATTAAATTAAGTCACCAAATACATGTTAAAATTGTGACTGAAACTTTATCACGTTGGACACATAAAAGGTTTGAAAATCATAATTAAATCATATGTGAGTGTTTTCCACCAAATGTAAATATGAATTTATAGTTGTTATAGAGTTACAGCTGTAAAATAGACACATATTATTGTTTAAAAACCTGAATTAAATTGTTGTAACTTGTTTTCATTTATTTATTTTATTTATTTCTAAATAATTGTGAATAAATCATTTCTTTTTCTAAAAATAGGTTGCTAATGTTGAAAAAATATTAGCAAAAAACAAGTCTGTATTGTTGAGCCCTAAAAAGTTCAACCTTTGTCTAGGGTAAAGCAAGCAAGCAAACATGAAACAATTAATAAAATAATTAACTATTTAAAAAAAGCATGAATAATGAATGCACCGTTTTACCCTATCCTTAATACTGCAATGTAAGACTTCATCTTCACAGGCCAGAAGGTCGGACCCATTTCAGGCAGGTAGCATGTGTCCTGCTCAACACATTTGTGAGCTATTTCCCTTGAGACTCAAGCTACTGCAGTCGCCAAAGCCTCATAATTAAAAGGTGGATTATGGTCACATGCAAACAGGCAGTGGAAACGTGATGAGACACATCCAGTCATGCTTACTCAGTTTGGTGACACAGTCTGAGTAGCAGAGGTGAAAAGTGTTCAGATTCAAATACAGAGGAGACCAGGGCTAGCTGTCTCAATCTTTAAAAGGTTTTAAGTTAAATGTCCAGTTGTACAAATGTTTTTTGTCTCCAGCACAGGTTTTGCATGTTTAAAATACCAATGTCATAAATTAGTCCTATATTATAATAATTATCAATGTTCTTCATGCTAAAATCATTATGCTTGCTTATTATTATGACAATTTACCCATTATAACTGTTTGTAGCCAGGAAAAAGAAACTTTTAAGGGAGTAAAAAGTGTGACAACTAACCTATGGTCTACCCATGTTTACATCTGATTCACAGAAATCAGTCATTACTCACAGTACAGAGGGTCTCAAATTCCTTGTCTGACACAAAAGATCCATCCAGACCAAAGAGGAAAATGGAGGCATATGACAGCAAGCCCCCCAGAATGATCAGGTTGTTCATATAGGGACTCGACATTTTGATCAGCCTGCAGATGGAGGGAAGGACACAACTGATACATTAAATATTCACATTTCATTTATTATTAACTATTGCAATTAAATGTGCATCTACACCAATGACTCTATCATACAGCGGGATCCAAAAGTCTGAAACCACTAGTAAAAGTGCCTTTATTTTGCATTATTGTAATAATTTTATACAAATTTATCCCATTGCAAGTAATATTATCAGAATAGGTTTGAAATCAAAGAACGTCCTCTGGGAATCAATAATTAAAAAAATTAAATTAATTAATAAAAAAAATAGGTGTGCATATCCAAAATCTAAATTAGGATCAGGTGCAGGACAACAGAACAGTAATAAAAAATAAAAAAAGATACACAGATAGATGTAAAAAAAACAAAACAAAAAAAAAACATTTAAAAAATACAGTAACAACTGTAAAATGTGAAATATTATTAAAATTTTAAATATCTTTTTTTCTTTTATAATATTTTAAAACGTAATTTATTTTTGTGATGGTAAAGCTGAATTTTCAGCACCATTACTCCAGTTTTCAGTGTCACATGATCCTTCAGAAATCATTCTAATGTGCTGATTTGCTGCTCAAGAAACATTTAAAAAATATTATACTTTTTTTCAGGATTCTTTGATGAATAGAAAGTTTAAAAGAACAACATTTATTTGAAAGTGAAATCTTTTGTGACATTATAAATGTCTTTACTGTCACTCCTGATTAAATGAATGCATCCTTGATGAATACAATTATTAATTTCTTTTAAAAAAAACTAAATCGTACTGACCAAACTTTTTCTTATTGTTCAAACTTTTGAACAGTAGTGTATCTATATAGTGACCTAAAATGAATGCAGAATGTTAAATATGAACTTTCCCTATTATAACTTTTCTATTTTACATTTTTCAAAATCTTAAAAACTGATTTTCACATGAAACAAAAGCTCCCAGACTTTCACTGTGGTCTCAGACTTTTGTTCGTTTCATTCTTGAACCTTTCCTTTCATAGTCTTGCTCAGCACTGACCTGTGGTTGCGGTTTTTGATGTTAAAGAAGAGGAAGGCTCCTGCCATGAGCATGCCCAGGATAGTGATGGTAGACAGGATGCTATAGAGGGGGACATTTATTTGCCGGCGCTGCAGACGCACAAACGTCCGATCCTTTGGCGGTTCAACACCTACAAGAGTCATGATGGTTCACAATCAGTTAGTCTCAGAGTCACTTCTAAGAACGTCACCTCTGAGAAAGCTTTCAAAATCTCCTAGGAGGACGCTCCTGTGTAATTTAAATGACTAAGGTTTTAAAATGCCATGCCAACTAGAGAGAGAATTGATGGGGTTATCAAGTCACTAATGTGACATATTAGCTCTATTTCTGCACAAGGTTACATAATGTTTTGGTTACATGGCGATGATCATGATGTAAGATGCGATTAGATCTTACATCATAATGAGAAGTTGCAAGACAGTCGAGCACTTATACCAAATGAGTCACCAAAATGAGTCAAGAGTTGTTTGCATGGCTTGCGTCTTGACAACCTGGGTGTTTTCATGTACTACTGTGAGGTGTAGCATTTGGACCAATCAGACACACAACTATTTGTTATATTTAACAAATAATATCTAACACCCCCTTACCTAAACAAAGGGCCAATAACGAGGGTCTATGGACCCTTCCCCCGAAATGCATCTAACACCTCCGAAAGGCAGAACAGGCCTCTGGTTCCATGGCAACCAATGCTGATATCACTGGTTTTATTGCCAAAAGGAATGCGGGCAGAGAAACTCACTAATTTTCCTCATAGGAAAGACACATAATGCCCAGAGAAATGGCCTGTTCTCTAATCAATTCATAGGAAAACCTTTCTTTGAATGAACTCGCATATCCTTCAGGTCGTTGTGTATGTTGTTACTGTCCTTGTATATTGTCTTTTATATTGTTTACTGTTTTATGCAGGCTTATGATAGAACCATTCGTTCATGTCATCTTACTTATATGTAATCCTACCATGTTTAGTATCTATGAATTAGTCTTCTGATGATCTAAATGAGTGTATATTATATGTTGGTACATAGGCAATATATTAGTGTTCTAAGAATCTTTAGTAATTTTGATTCAAGTTCCATATGCAAATTACCATGCTCTCACACAAAGGGTCATAAAACTCCCCAGTATTTCCAAACTCCCGCTTGGAATTTCAGCCTTTCTCATTGGACAAGCTCATCCTGAGAGGCGTGAATCTTGTCAGGCCTTAAAGGCCTCACATCAGTGACCCGCCTTCAGTCTGCTGTTCTATTAGATTCTGAGAAGATGAGGATGTGAGCTAAAACGCTCCTGAGGACACCCTAAGTTCGCGCCAGGCTTCGGCCTTGACTTTCCATTCACCAAGACCCTCTGACTCAAACTGGTTCTTTTTCATCAACCAACTTCAGCAAGATCAACTTGAGCCTTCAGATTGCATCAGGACTCTCTTTCAGACAGACAAGACGTGGAAGTATCAAACTTAGTCTTATTAATTGATACATTAAATATAATTTGCACCTTTTAACAAAGGTGTGTGTGTGTGTATGTGTATGTTAGACTAGTTTAAGTGTTTATGTAGTTAATAAAGTCTTACTTGTATCACACTTGACGTTGTTCATTGTTTGCTCATAACTGGAGTCCCTAATCATGCAGATTTATGCTACATGAGTAGTATTGTACAGTAAGAAAATTATTAACCCTATAAAGCCTACTGTAACCCTACTGTACCACATTTAATATGCACATTTCTATGGACTCTAAATTAACAACATAATCAAAACATTGCTGCAAAACCTGTTGTATACCATATATGCCTTCTGATTGATAGTTTACACTTTTTAAGGCAGTAAAAGGCCTTTCAGTATACCTTTATAAAAACTTCCCCCTTCAAATTGTGGTACATGTCTTTATGCTGTGAAATATTTACAGATTTTTATAAAGTAAACGTAAGAATAGCTTTTATATTATTAGTAATATTTTGAGATGAACACTTACTAAACTGAAGCCAGTTGGGATTACTTGATTTTCAAAAAAATTATGTATGGAAAATCATGTTCAAATGTGAGTATCAAATATGAACATTCTTTTGAGGAACACTTACTTGTGCAATCATCATTAAATTGCATTAGATGATATGTTTTGCATATTTTTGCTCTGAATAATATTCAGTGTTTTTTCTCCCCGGGTTTGAGCTCCATATTCTCCTATATCATGAGCAATAATGTATCAAATACGATACTCAACAAAAAACACATGCATTTTTTTTAGGTTTTATGTTCAATAAACTGTTCCATTTAAAAAAATAATAATTTCTGACTACTGTGTCATGCTTTACATGGTAAGTATGCCAAATGATTCCCTCAGATCCTCTTAACAAGTTCCATTAAAGACAATCAAATATTTTACTTCCTGCCTACCACTGTTTTCCACAGAGGCAGTTTAAAAAAAAAAAAAATATCCAGGGATTATAAGAAAAAAAACAAAGAATGTCAATGTGGGAAAACAGAAAAATACCTCTTGAATTATTCAGATGACCACATTGAACAGTGAGTACACAACATTGTCAGGCGTGTGAACCTTCTGTCTCTCTCTCACTCAAATGCTGACCCGTAAACACACACAAATTGGGCTTTTCCTACCTTGGAACCTGATGGTGTTGTTGATAAGGTCCAGTACATCTGCAATGGCATTGTACTCGCCCACCTTCACCTCTTGACCCTCTGTGAAAGACAGCAACAACAAGAGGACAGCGGCGATAAGAGCAGTGTGTTCAAAGCCGGCGGCCCCCAGAGAGAAACAAGACAATAGACAGTAAATTTAGTTTCTGTGCACTCCACTGCAGAACTAGTCCAACATATTGTCCCAAAATGTTCAGGCTGATGTTGACCTGAAAAAGTATGTAAATTGCAACCTTATGCATTTGCACATCAATTAAAAGGCACCAGGTTAGAAATTTCTGCAAAAACAATGATTTGAAACAAACACTGTCTTGTGACATCTAACTAAGAAAAACTGCTTTACTTTACTCAGAAAACATAACAGCTTCACTGACAATCACGCAGTCAGCTAATTTTTGCACTTTTTGTTTTGACAAAAATGTCCTTTAAATTTAGTCAATATTTAGTCTTGTTATATTTAGTCAATTTTACTATGAATGAAATGGTATACAATATAGTCCACAAAAATATTTTAGTGCAAAATATGACATGCCCTACTGCTCAAATGCTTCATTGATTTGATCAAAAATACAGTAAAAACAGTAATGTTGTGAAATATTATTAGTTTAAAATAATGGTTTTAAGGTGCTCAAGAAATATTCCTTATTATTATCAATGTTGAAAACAGTTGTGATGCTGAATTATTGACCCCAAACTTTTGAATGATAGTGCATGAAAATATGTATATGAAAACATGAAAATGTGCCAAACTGTAAAAAAACAAATAAATATTTAGTAATTAATCTCATATAAATAGAAAGCATTTGAATGAGCTAATTAACCAGTTATCAAATATACCGATTTCATCTTCTACAAACATTATTGTAGTGCAGTGTTAACATCTTGTAGTTTTTTTCTTTTTTCTTTTTTTTCTTTCTTTTTCATTTAATTATCACCATGATGCATCTTTTTTGTTTTGTTTTTATTATTGCTGACGAAATAAAAAAGCCTTGTTGACAGGAATATCGTTGAACTAGGTATTAAAGACGAAAACAGGATGGTTAGGTGAAATTTAAGGTTACATATCCACAGATGCAATAAAATAAAGCTTAGTGTCAATAACTTCCCAGCAGAACAAGACTTAATCTCAGAGGCCAAATACAAAGAAAGTCTATTCCAAAAGCCATCTTAAAACTCAATATTTATCCCTGGTGTGCGCCTCAAAACTGCTTGTGTATTGACTGTCACACTCACAGGGAAGAAAAGTCACTTAAAAACAGAGAACATGGGACATAAGATATTATCACTTAGCTCCTGGATATATACATGTGTTTCCAAGACTGCTAATGCTAAACATTTACCGTATGAATATGAATTGAGATGCCTACCCACATTCTGCTCATTGCAATTCATCTGATGGTTTCAGGTTTTCCCATATAACTGCTGTGGATTCAAGCAGGCCAAGTTTGAATGTGAATAACAATTTAAACAGTACATGGTGGTACCGAACTAGATAAAATTTTGTGCTCTAGATGGTCTTGCTGTGTCAGGAGAATCATTGACTGTGAATAATCAGCGCTGTCCGTGTACATGCTTTTGCTGTACACAATGCCATCATTCAGGTACTTTGACCATGAGATCAATGGGACACTATAAAGACAGCAAGCATGTAAACTAATAGGCAGAGTTCAGTTATTAGTTGTCAATTGTAATGACTTATAAGATTTATGTTAGTCAGGCTTAAGTCTTTGTCAAAAATGCAGAGAGAAAGAAACAGTTTGGCCAGAACACAATCTTGCCAGGAGGTCATTGTCAAATAACTAGGTTAAGAAATTACTCTGAGTGTCTTGTCCAGATGGTTCGGAGTGTGGTGGCAGTGGGTGTGATATAGGAGCTGACAGACTGAGACTCTAAAGATGGATGGCAGGCTCGATTGAGGATCAGAACATCTCTAAATATTCAGCCTGGGCTCCCCTTTCCAATCCTTTAACAGTGAGGGATGAAGAGAGAGAGAAATGAGCAGAGAGAGAGAGAGTGATTGGAAATTTTGAGAGAATTAGCAAAGCACCTTTTTGTGCACTGCAAAAATCATACTCTAAACAAATATTTGTGTCTTATTTTCCAATTAAAGTATCTAAATATACTTGGAAATCTTACAAGTTTATTTTGTCTTACTGCACTGGCAGATTGTATTAATTTTTTTTTTATTTTAAGTATTAATAAGTAGAACAATTTAGAACAATAAACAAAATAGTGAAACAATCTGCCAGTACAGTAAGATAACATAAGTTTGAAAACAAGTGAATGAAATCATACGCAGTATTGCTTCTCAAGTAAATATATCTTGTTTCAGAGAGATTTTTTTTTTACTGGTAAACAAGTTAAAAGACTAATTAAAAACTCATTAAGAAATTATTTTTGTGTGAATGATAGAAAGACTGAGTCAATGTGTGACTCAGTGCATGACTGAAAGTACAGTCATTTAATGAATAAAGTAAATGGGTGAATAAGCGAGAAAGTGAGTGAATGAATGACTCAAAGCTGAAATATGCAACATAAGTTTTGTCCCAATTTACAGTCTGGAATTGACAATCCTAGTTTATAAAAGTCATAGCTACTCTGGATTTGAACAAAATCATGTAGTGTATGATGGGCACAGACTTTTTAAGATTCAGACTATAATTCCATCCAGGATATCAAACATGTTGAACACACATTGCTTTCATTTGTCATGCATCTCATAGCCACCAGGCACATCCTCAGTCTTTTATTGCATGATGACCATTTTTTTCTTTGTAACCATTTACAAAGTCAGCAACTACATGATGTCTAGTGTTTTAAAATCTGCTCAGATTTTAAATGTCATGTGGTATATTTCGAATGAATAAGTGAGTGAATGAGTGAAAGTGAGTTAATACATTAGAAAGTAAATAAATATGTGTGAATGAATGGATGACTGAATGAGTGTGAGAGAATGGACAAACAAATGAATGTGTAGCTATGTTTCCATCACCCTGTTTTTATGCACATTTTGAAGTATCACATCAGAAACGAGTGATGGAAATGCCAAATTTCGAAAAAAAAATCATTGAATTTGCAAAAAAGCTTTTACACTCATTTGAGGTGGTTCCTTTTCGAAAGGGAACTCCACGCTGTCGTTCCCTATTCTCAGGGAACCATGGTTACATGCTTAACCTGAGACGTTTTTGGTTAATGTGCATCAAAAAAGTCATGTGACTTTGTGCGATGGGATGGGATCTCATTGCACAGCATCTGAAATGTTGTTATGGTCATTCATAAATGCCCGAGCAAATTCCGTCTTCAAAGTATTTCAGTATAATTGCCTCCCAGAACACGACTGTGTTCTCAAACAGCAGGCATCCACCTCCGAAAAGCAATGACCACATTTATTGTGTTTTGTCTGCTCGCTCTGAGGCACAAGTAATTTCATTATATATGAAAAATATTATATTCAGTGGCTTCTCCTACTTTTTTTTTGTGATATTTAGTGCCAGTTTATCAGGAAGTGATGATTTTGTTCTCTTTGACTCGTTGGATGGCAACTGTGCTTATTCGCGAATGTTTTATGCAATATTCCAATTTTGTGCTTAAGTTAAATTCGCAACTTTAGATGGAAACCTAGCTTGTGAGAGTGAATGAATATATGAATGAACAAGAATTTGAGTGCATGAGTAAATACGTGACTGATGAGTATGAGTGAGTGATTTAATGTGAGTAAATGAGTGCGAAAGAGAGCGACTGAGAGAATATGAGTGTGAATGAGAAAGACAGAAGAAAGACAGAAAGCACAGTAATAGAGTGAGAACCCCAAAGAAAGAAGGAGCCCAAAGCAAGCTTGCGCTTTGAGCCAGTGTGAGTTGTGATTGTTCTCGGTGTAGAAGGAGACGCTCTCTAGTGCACTGCTGATAACAGCGTCTCCTTTCTTTTTTTCATTATTTATCCCTGACTGCCATTCGCCTTCATATTGACAGACAGTTCAATCACCCCTCAGCCACACAGCCCTCTGATTCTGCGGCCAGCTCACAAATACAGTCTGAAGAGGTGATGTAACACACTATGGGGGGGAAGCCTCTGCTCTGAAGCAGATAAGACTGAAGAGGGTGGGGAATGCTGGCCTGCGGCTGCCATGGGGTGTGAGGGGGGAATCCCTGCTCCGAGATTAAATCCCACAAACTAGAGTTAATCTCCCCTGCCCTCAGGACACACACACACACTGGATTAATCACATCAGAGGGCCGAGCAGGGGAATTCTCTGACCCCATTAAGCTACAGGACGGCGCCGACGCTGACACAGAGCATGCTGACTATGTGATGTATGGCACAATCGTCATGCTGAGATATTTGTCGCACATATTCTATGAAATGACACTATCACGGAGTGAGATGTTCATTTAAGACGGAGGATGATCAACACTGGCTGAAGGACCAACATTTGATCCAGCATTTCCTATAAAAATGCTTGTTAACCATGAAAAATGACCATCTAAATGGACTTACCTTGAAACTGGGTGAATTTTATGGTTCCCATGCGTTCCCCGTTCCTGAACATCACCTGACCCTGCAGAAGCACACAACGAACAACCTTCACAAGAGCTGCTTATCACGTGCAAATGGACAGTTTGCAGAAATCTCGATTGCACAGTTGAGATGATTAATATCATGGCACATAATCTGAGTGGGACAGATATATCTTACAAGGATCGATTTTCCATCTGTTTGCCATATCCTTCACTCTTGGCACAGCAACAAATTGGGAGTGTTTAGTTTGAAGTCTGGCACAGTGCTTGTTTTTTAAGGCCATTTATTAGATTAAAGATCTGTGAATTGATCGCGTTTTTGAGGCAAACACAATTAATTGTAGCACAATTGATTTGTTAAATTAATGGAGCACACAGAGGTCTGAGAGGCTGCCAAGTTGTGCCAGCTGAGCAGGACTGGGATGCTTTACTGGTACGGTAAAGTAAAATAAAATAAAATAAAAATTCATTTTTATTTTTTATTGTTGCAATTCTGCATATTATTTATCAGATATGTCTAAATAAAACATCTTGTATCAGCATAATAAAATTAAGAATTTAGGTAAATTTCTTCTTACTTTAGCAAGCACTTACGGTAACACTTTACAATAAGATTCATTAGTTAACATTAGTTAACTACTTTAGTTAACATGAACTAAGAATGAAAAATACTTCTACAGCATTTATTATTCTTAGTTAACATTAATTTCAACATTTACTAATGCATTATTAAAATCAAAAGTTGTGCTTGTTAACATTAGTTAATGCACTGTGAATTAACATGAACTAACAATGAACGATATTGTTCATTGTTTGTTTATGTTAGTTAATACATTAACTAACATTAACTAATGGAACCTTATTGTAAAGCGTTATCAGCATTACTAATAAAAGCCTTAGAAAGAAGTAGCATAATGGTGAAGGAAAATTATAGGTTCAATTGAAAATAACAGCGGTCCAGGAAATATAAAAAGGCTACTAAGAACTTGGAAGTTCTTTCTTGTGCCCTTGAAAGATCATCAGAACAATAAGAGCATTGTAAGAAACTTTGGATGACATGCATCTTCTAAAGGGGAAGAAACCAATTAATATTTAATACATATAAATAATAAATCACTTCAACCACTTACAAAACACAATCATTAACAGAGGAATTTCCTGATGAATTAAAATATGACGTGAAGCCTCATCAGATGTTGCATGGATATCTGATCAAAGCGCAGACAGGTATATAGCATTTTTACATAAATAGTTTTAAAAGCTCTATCACTGGATCAAAATATTATCTATGTTCATTATGTCTTAAAAAAAGAAAACGTGTAAATGCGGATTGCTGTCTGTCTGCCCTGAAGCTGCCTAATGAGCCATTTAAAAGGATTTGGGATCACTCAGCCCAATAAAATAACAGGTGAGAGGCATACTGCATTACCATGGCAATAATTAGAAGCCCATTAAAACCATTGGAGGCAACTCAGAAGCGATCGTATCTCAAAAAATGGCTATCTTTGAAGTATAGACCAGACTCCGGTCCCACTGCAATATGATTCTTTGTTTAGCAGCTCTTACGTAGGCGCACTGGATAAATGCTCGCCTTCACAAAACACATTAAAGCTGCAATTCAGAATTATGTGTAAACAATATATAATGTGAATGGCAGTCCTCTTTGTCAGATGAATTGTACTGACTCCAAAGCCCTACCTGCGGAAATTTACATATTCTTCATAGTTTCCAAGACATAATTTTGATTTATAAGCTATGCAGGATGTCATATTTGTAACATTGTGGAGACAGAAAGGAGAAACATAGGTCATATTTTGTTGTTCAGGACCATTGCTTTCATTATTCATTTTGCAAAACATCTCCTTTTGTGTTTGATGGAAGAAAGAAAGATGAACTGTCACTATAAGAATCAAGCTGTAACAGTAGTTGGAGAGTTATTCTAAATCAATGAAGTCTTTTCTCTTTCTCAGTTTCTTTTTTTAGACTGGTTTCATAACATTAGAACAGCTGAAAATAGATTGCGTTGCACTGCAGGTGAAGGCTTATGGGTCAAACATGTTGATGGCACCTTTTATCAGTGTGTGTGAGTGTGAGTCTATGCAGAGGTGTGGACAGGCCAGGCAGGAGGCCTTATGGAGGTCACACAGGTGTGCAAGGCACCCTCAGGCCTGTAAAAGGGGTTGTGGGTGAAGGTGATGAAAGCAAATTATGATGTCGCTGTCCAACCAACCAAACAGCCACTTATAATGGCAGACAGCAGCTAGGTTTGCCCTGAAATATCTCACACACATTCAGTGATATCAACTGTCTACTGAAGATGCAATGACTCCATGCACTGAGATTTGTAAACTAGGGCTGTGTTGACACAGTCATACTGTATATATATAGATGTTGACTACTAGTCCCAACAGTCCACGTCTGCAGTGCAATAGTCTATTTTCAACTTTTCGAATATTATTTCATTTGGATGAATATGTAATAGAAGACATGTTTCCTGTTTTTATTGAAATTTAAGCAGTCCAGGTCCTCTGAATAACTTGAAAAGTTACAAAAGTAAGTGGAAAACTGGCAAGAAACATGTTTACGTTACAAAAACTGAAACATAATAAAAATTGTATATGGAATCGAGTAGGTGAAAGGATGGTTCCTCTTAGTGTGACACCAACTGTCAAACGCGGAGGAGGATTCGTGATGGTCTCTGACTCTTTTGCTGGATCCAGAGTCTGTGACTTACATAGTAAGTGTCAGCCTGAACCAAAAAGACTACCACAGCATTTTGAACTGGACACAAGCGTGAAAGCAATGCTATACCTACTGTACAAGTGCAATACATTTTTGGGAACTTTGCAAGTGCTGAGAATAGCTTTACAAACACTATTTGATTTTCATCGGCTGTTATATCAGCAAAATAAATTTAGATTACATTTTGATTTCCTTATTTCTCCGGTTGAGCATTTTTTGTATGCTTTAACTTCAAAGTATATTAAACTGTGTAAATTTCAATACAAACTAAACAAATTAGGTTTTCAACACTTTTGACAAGTTGTGTTTATTGATTCTTCTCAGAATCCTTATACTCGGGATCCTTATTCAAGAAAAGAATGTGAAATCTGACCATTAAATTATCATTCATATGTCTGAGGTTGGTAAGATGTTATTGAAAGAAGTCTTTTATGCTTATTAAGGCTCCATTTATGTGATCAAATATGCAGTAAAGGCACTAATACTGTGAAACATTATTACAATTTAAGAGGTCTTCTATTTTTAAAGGAGTCATATGACGCAATTTCATTTTTTCCTTTCTCTTTGGAGTGTTACAAGCTCTTGGTGCATAAAGAAGATCAGTAAATTTGCAAAGACTAAAGTCTCAAATCCAAAGAGATATTCTTTATAAAAGTTAAGAATCAGCCACACCCCCCTAAAATGGCTCGTTCGAACACGCCCCCACATATCTACCTCACTATGTGGAAAGATTTGCATAACGCCGCCCAAATGTTCACGCAAAGAAAGAAGTCGTAACTTTTATTCTCACTGTAGTATTGTTGCCACTGCCGCCATGTCCTGAAGACGCTGTGTGCTTCGTTGTGAAAGCGAAACTACTTTGTTTGGTCTTCCAAAAGAGGACGATATCCACTTCGTCATGCCTAGAGCGGATCCGTACTGGTCGCTGAGGGAATACATCAACTTAGTGTTGTGGATTGCCGGATCAGCTTTCCCCGTTTTCACCGCTCCTTCGCCGGGACCGCCGTTCTCGACCCCGCCCCTCAGCTCATTCTTGCTCGGCTTCAGGATCTAAAATATGAATAGTTAATTATAACTAGTTATGGTTAATTATTCATATTTCCCCATGAGCTGATTCGCTACATTTTGAACTGTAATTTATTCCTGTGATGCGAAGCTGACTTGTCAGCATTATTACACCAGTCTTCAGTGTCACAAGATCCTTCAGAAATCATTCTAAGATGCTGATTTGCTGCTCAAGAAAGCTTTCTTATTATTATCAATAATTAAAATGGTAGTGCATTGATTATATGCAATAAAAAACATCTATACTTAATTTTAAAATTTAATTTAATAAAGAAGCAGTGTAATGATCAAGTAAAAAGAAAAAAAAATCTTCCTTGCATCTTGAATTATCAAAAATGTTGATCAAGGTTATGAAAATGTATTTTTTAAAAATTTCATAATTATGGTCATACATATCAATAAGTTTGGTAAAACAGATAAACTAGTGCCAAATCAGTGCTAACCAACATAAACCAGCCTAGACGTGCTGGTCCAAGCCGGTCATTTCAACAGGGAAAGCTGAGAAAAGCTCAGAGTAAGAATCTATTGAAACTGAAATTCAATTCAACTGCAATGCATCATTTTTCCTTTCCACATGCTGGAATTTGTTTCTGTCAGAAATCAGAAATGTCATTCATAACTCCTGAGATCCCACTGCATTACAGACACTCACTCTTCCTGATATTCCTTTAATCTGTTTGGCACTGAGAGGCTCAAAATCCACACTGATATAGCCCTCCATGGCTGTCAGCAGCTTCTTAGTGGTACAGTTTGTGGAGTTCGCCTGTTCCCACCAGTTCCCCTGGTACCATCCTGGGATGATCCACTGGTACTTACTGCCATACATGTTCAGGTTGTAGGCCTGGAGCACACACAAGGGAAAAAAATACATTGACTACAGTCTTTTCAATGTTAAAGGGGTCCTATTATGCTCTTTTACAAAGTCTTGATTTTGTTTTGGGGGTGTACTAGAACAGGCTCTCATACACACATTATTTTTCACATATTTGACATTATTACAACACCTCTCTCCCCAGTCTGGCATGAACGGCTCGAATAGTTCCTGTATCAAATGAAGGCCCGCCTTCTGATATACAAAGTGTGCTGTGATTGGTTAGCTGGGCCAGTGTGTGCTGTGATTGGCAGCACTCGGCGCCTGGTCGGGAAATGTCATGCCCCTTACCATAGCCACCTGCGAGCTTCAGTGTAAATATTGCGTCAAAATCAAATCAATTTGAGTGCGATTTAAATCTGGATGATTGTAAACACTCTAAGTTCGCTTGCCTTGGGAAAGCTAGCGTGTCTCCGACACAGTGATAACACCCGTTGCCTTCTCTAGTGCAGCTCAACCAGGTCTCGTGCCATTCGTCGATATTTGTGATATCACAAATCCCGGAAAATATGCATTGTAGTCCAAACGAGTCGTTCGTTGTAGTTTTTGAAAAGTGATTTCTGTTAAATAAAATATCTCCTTTTGAAGTGGACTTTGAGCTTTGTAACTTTGCAGATCTTTTTCATGCTCAAACAGCAACATTACAGACTAACTAAAGTTGAAAAAGTGAAAAAGCATGATAGCACCCCTTTAACACAGCTAAATGTTTTTGGCACATGTACTGTATGTTAAAAAAATCTACAGGCCTTCTGCATGAAGTCTGAAGCTGGTGGGAGAGCTGATGGTTGCATGGTATGGTTACAGAGTTACAGAGACATGATTGTGCATGAAGCTGGCTAACTTACACAGCAGAAGACTTTAGAGGCCAGATTCTCATCAAACTGACCGATGATGATCCGGACATCATTATCCTATAGACAGGGGACATAGAGAACAAAATAAAACAAGTAGTTAATGGCTAAAGAGATTTACATAAAACATATGTTGAAAGGTGGCTGAGAGAAAAGGTGCAGCTTTTCTCATGAAAAAATATGTAAGCATCTTCCAAAAATGCAGTTAAGGTGTGTTGCTTTCGTAGGTGAGACATATTAACACCAAGTGTATTACAGAGAAACAGTATCAGCAGTGTGAATTGCTTCATATCCAGAGAAAAACAGAGATCTGCATCTGTAACCAGCATTCACGCTGCATGTTTGAGTCTGTAAACAATCCAGTCCACTTCAGCATTGTGTTTCCACCTCATCCGGTTCTGCATCACTGAGAATCAATCAGAGGCGGACAGTAACTAAGTACATTTACTTGAGTATTGTACTTAAGTACACTTTTTGAGTATCTGTACTTTACTTAAGTATTATTTTTTCTGGGAACCTATGACTTTAACTTCACTACATTTGAAAGACAAATATTATACTTTTCACTCCACTACATTTCTATGAAGGTCCTCGAAGTAGAAAGTCATTAGCAGCTTTAAAAGTCAGTGGGTGATTTCTTTCTTCTCTAAAAACTGTCTTTTTTTCAGACAGTTTATCAGTAATCACTCATGTAGGGCTACATGAAGAGATTTCCCAGCATTTTTTTAACACTGACCAGTTCCAAATGTAATATTTATTTACAACAATTCAATAATAAGAAATTAATATTGTGGTATATATTAGACACAATATTGTCTGATTTTGCTAAATTGTGAAAGTGAAAATATTACCTATAAAGCCACAGAAGAATTTTTTGTGT